GGACAACCTTTTGACAGAATTGGAATGGACATAGTAGGACCTTTACCAATAACTAAGCAAGGAAATAAATATATAGTAGTAGCAATAGACTATTTAACTAAATGGCCAGAAGCAAAAGCTTTGCCAAATGCAAAAGCAGCATCAGTCGTACCGTTCTTTTATGAAGATATAATTTGCCGTCATGGATGTCCAAAAGAATTATTAACAGATAGGGGAACTCATTTTATAAATGAAATGCTGGATTCCCTATGCAATGAACTGGGAGTAAACACAAATTAACGACTGCCTACCATCCACAAACAAATGGATAAATCTCTCAATAAAGCTCACCATTAGCGAGACAGCCTTAGATAGGGAAAAAAAGCTTCCAATTTCAGAGAAACAGGGTCAGCCTAAAATTTCTGACCCTAATAATTATTTCGTGTGATGGGATTTAATATCCATGTGTACCTCTAAGAAAAGATTTACACGTAATGAAGTGACTTGTTGAACGTTTCAATAGAACATTATGTGAAACATTAGCGAAATTTGCCAATGACAATAAGGATGATTGGGATACTTTCATTCCTTCAACCTTATTTGCTTATCGAACAAAACGACATGGTACTACAAGGCATGAACCATTCTACCTGACCTATGGAAGGAATGCTACACTTCCAGTAGAGTTTCAAATACAAACAATAGCTACACAAGTCTCACAAGTAACAGATGATACGACAGATCTTTTGAATCGTGTGCGACAAATAACAGGAAGGATGGATTATGAAATTAATGAGGCACAGGCAAATATAAAAAAATCCCAACAGAAGCAAAAGGACCAACATGACAAGAAACTGCCAAAATCACAACCATTTAAAGTAGGAGACCTAGTCCTAATGTACAAAAGTAATATTCATGATAAAAAGAAACTTGAAGATCGCTGGAAGGGACCGTATTACATTCATGATGATCTTGGTAACGGTGTGTACAAATTAAGGACCATGGACAGAAAGATCCTCAAAACACCAATAAATAGTGCAAGGTTAAAACAGTATCACCAGCG